TCTCTACTTCCTCCCACGATCCAGAAGTGAAGCCAAAATATCTTGGATATGAGGCGCTGCCATCTTGCGGATTTGTACTTGTGATATAGTTTATTACTCACTGAAGAAGGAGAGAGAAGTTCTACTCTGCAGCTTTAACATTAAAACCAACCTCACCCTCTGAAAGGCTCAGAAGGATCGGACACGATGTCGACACTTTCCAAATACGTCCTTGTCTCAACAAACGCCCCCACTTTTCAAAATCTAATTTTCCCAAAAGGTCTTCAATTATCAAACACGTTCGCTCTTTAAGACAAATGCCCTCAATTTCCGAAGAGGTCTTATGGTTCCAGAAATGTTTCCGATTTCTCACAAACGTCTTCATTTTTCAAATCTGTTGTCCTCGCTCTGCAAATCCTCGTTCCAAAAAATGTCCCCCTCAAGGTCTACGACTCGGATCAGTCCTCACAAAGACAGAAATACAACACTGCAAAGACACCGAGGTCGACTGAGAACTTTCTTCACGTTGTTCTGATACCCCCCCGCCCCCTCACCCAGCCCCTCACCGGTTTGGAGGGGTTGCTCCCCCCGCCTCCCTGGGTGTCACGGGGGAGGCGAGTGCGTGAGGAATGGGGGCTGCTGTCTTTGCTGACGTGTGCTGACTCAGCTATGTCCACGCCACTGTCCTCACTGAGGGTCTGGCCACTGTCTGACAGCTGAGACAGGGCGCCACCTGAGGGGAAGACATGACGTCAGGACTGTTCTTACCTTCAAATCTTTCTGTGTGTGAACAAGACAAAACTTTTATTACCTCCGCCAAAGAGGACGTGCTTTGTCCGTCTGTTAGTGGGATTACACAAAAACTACTACTTACTGCAGCTGAGACTGAGATCTGACTGCATGGATGGTAACAACTTTATGGACGATAGAGCGATTACACAGCAAATAGTTAAAGAGACATAAGCAGAGGGATGAGCTGGTTTAAGCTTTTTGGATTTGTAATTTTTTTTTTAAATTAAAGCAGATTTGAAGATTTAACACAAGATTGAAAAGTTATTTACATTTATCCAATTAGGGGCCACGGTTTAATGTTCGGGTTAATTAAGAGCATCTGTAAATACGTATTCGAGAGAGATTGTAAATATGTTTTTATGAAGCTACAACTGAAACTGCACATTAACACATTTTTTGAGCAGGAAGTGACGATCAACATGTACCAGGCTGTGAATGAATCCCCACGTTTTACAACCAAGAGATAAACTACAAATATTTTTGAAAGGAGAGATTCGTTCACAGACGATAAAATGTTGTACTTCAATGGTTCTGTATTCTCGTCGACATGTTTTCAGCTCAGTCAGCATGTGCACTGATAAAAAGTGGGTCTGCCTCTCTAGCAGGAGCCGGTTGTCTGTCCTCGTAACACTCCGGTAAACTGGTGAGTGACGAGGGTCTCGCACTATCGATTCTGATGCTGGATTCACTGGAGGAAAAAAAAATGTCTCCTGGCAAAAATATTCTCATGAAGCAAAAAAAAAAAAAAGGGTATCAGGTAAAATGATACCCTTTGTTGCACTAAATATATACTATAGTGTAATTAGAGTGTCAACTAATGAACACTTGAATCAATAATGGAATTATTAGCTGTGGGGGGTTTGTGCACGTGAGCTCCCGCGGTCCACGTTCCTCACCTCGAGCTTGTGGCAGCGGCCGCACTTCGTTGACGTCAGGCTCTGCATTGGGCCTGTGAACCTCCACTGTAACAAACTGCTGTTTAGAGGCAGGAGAGGAGGCGGGGGAGGCTTTGGACAAGGACACGGGTTTAAGGGGAAGAGATGGGGGCGGATGAGGAGCAGGGAGTGGAGGTGGAGGCGGAGGAGAAGGGGAGGGGGCAGCGGGTTTGGTGCTTCTGTTGGGGGACTGCACTCTGGGAAAAGGGCCAATGTTGTGCCGGGCGACCACGGACAACTGAGCAGCTGCTATCTGCTCCTTCTTGGAAGGTAGCGAATGATCTCGCTTTCTGACGGCCGCGTAATCCTGAGACGGGTCCCTGGCGGGCTCTCGTTTGTGGCGGAGTGCGGGTGAGGCGGGGGCGTGTCCTGACTCTCTGCTATGGATGTGGGAGGGCGGGGCCGTGAAGTACAAGCCCGAGTGGGAGGATTCGGACGAGGGGCACTTGTTGAGCTGATCTCGTCTGCTCGGGCGCCTCTGCACCCCCGGTGGGGGCGGAGGCTTGAAGGAGGGGGGAGATTCTGCAGTGGTGGACTGAACATCATCCTGAAGTGAGAGGATATATTCATCATCATTGATTAGAGGTGTAACAATGAAGTGTAGCACATTATACTGCATTAGAAACCCTGACCATGTGCATCATGGGGCTGAAATCGAATCAATCAATAATAACGATTCAATTCAACCATTGACACAGTTTCAACCACAGCCTAAAGTCAGATCTGCTGAAGTTCAGATAAAAATCTTTCGTTTGGTTTAATTTGAAAACATCTGGGCTGCTGCTGCAACTCCAAACCACAGGAAGTGACTGGAGTTCAATCTACAACACTGAACAGTCAATTTGGAAAAAGTTATTGATGTAGAAATGATTTTTAAGATATCGTTTCCAGTCCTGTGTGCGTTACAGACACATTACCACTGGAAGTCAATAAAAAAAATTTGGTTTTGGTCATTTGGATGAAATGTCCCTTAACTCAATCTGTATTTAAGAAAAAATATAAATAAATAAGACAACAACACAAGATTGTTAGACCCTGTCATGCACATTTAAAGTGAATGTTCAAACCCAGTTTTCTCATCGTTCTCACTCTCACAACTGCATCACACACTCCACTGGTTTTAGTGACAATAACAGCTGATGTGAAAAATCTTGTTGGTTTGATTTCACCCGAATCCTGCGTTTCCTTGTAAAAAATGCAGAAAACTCAAACCGAACAGTGGGATGAAAAGAAACACTGAGACGGTGACATCAAATGAGCATGAAAGAAAAATTCACCAAAGAAAAAATAAGGTATGATTTCTGTGGCAGACTAAAAGCTTCCTCCCTTGACCCTCTCGTCTGCTGCTGCAAATGAGATCTCTCGATGTCGCAAACTCTACCTCAGGACAAATCCTGCGGGTTCGCCGTGTCTCGAGTGCGTCTGTCTCTGATTTGTCCTTTTTAACATTTTCTCCCCACCCCTCATTATTTCTCCCCCAGGCCAAAGCGGCGGCCGGCCGGCCGGGCTCACCAGAGAGATGTCGGTCAGCAGAGTGTTCAGACTCTCCGGAGGATCCTTCCCATTGGTCTCCACCACGCTGTCGTTCTGTGGGAGATGCAGGAGGGAAATAGAGGAAGAGGAAGGAGGAGAGGTGAAGAGGGGGAGACGGTGAAGATCAACAGAGGAGGGGGAGAAAGGAGAGAGTTAATATAGAGAATGAGAAAAGGCGTCAATATCAGCTCACATTCGCTTGCCAGCCTCAAAGGCAAGCAAATACAATAACACACTGAACCCACCCACCAACACCCACACACACCCACACACACCCACACACACACACACACACACACACACACACACTCAGCTATCAGGTCTTGAAAACACACATGCTGAGAAATCGATACAGAATCATCGGCTCAGTTCAAAGCAGGATTTGGCAGCTCGGCCCCACCGGTGTGGTGGAGGGGAGGTAATCTGTGGCAGATCTGTGAAGGGTTTCAGAGCGAGGGTGGGTAGCGGGGGCGGGGGTGGGGGGGGGGGTGATGGACGAGTTCAGAGAAACGTCTTCCTCGATTTAACTGAAGCAAAAACAAAAGCTGCGTCACTTCAGCTTCATTTTGCCCTCGAAGCTGCACAGGGAGCACTTACAACTTTTTCACATGCACAGACTCTGCACAGCGAGCAACACAATATAATCATTTTTTTGTCAAAAAGCAAATCAATTTAACCAAAGTTAAGTAAATAATCCTTCTTGATTAGCACGGTGCACATAATGAGTCAGTCAATACAACTGGAGTGCATGCAGATGAGCCTGGAATCTATTATTTTCTGGGAATTTGCGATAGCAGATAAAGATGAAATTCCTCAGGATAAAACACCCCAGCTGCTGTAGGTGTGATCTTTTCTCTCTGTAACTGTGATCTGATCCTGACGGAGTGGAACAACCGGAGCTGCAGAGAAAGGACGAGGGAGAGGTCGTAACAAACACAACAAGTGTTTGGCTTCGTGATTCTTAACACCTCAGACCGTGGAGCGACACATCACTTTGTGTCAAAGCACAACTGCTCCTTTTAAAATGAAGAAAAACAAGAAGGAAGAAAAAAACACTTCAGACAAACTCACAGCAAAAACCAAGGATTGAGGTAAATTGTGTGTGTGTGTGTGTTAAACAACTGTCCACAGTTTGCTCTTGTTTGCAGATTTGTTTGGAAAGCACTCAGCAGTTCCTACCTCCATCATATCTATGAGCCAGAGCAGCCTTTCCTACAAAGGGGGAGACGAGGGGAGTGGGAACAAAAACACAGCCCATCAAATATCAGCAGAGCTTTCAATCTCAGCAGGAAGGCAGTGAAACGTAACGTGGTTCAGCCCGAGGAAGTCCACACGGAGAAAGACAAAGATCTTTCCTGCAGCAGAATCTGTTATAACCCATGAAAACACACCACACTGGCCTCGTTCTCCTTCTCTCACACACACACACAGCCAAAGAGGGAAAGGACGAAAACAGCAACACTCAGGTGCACCCATCGACTGTCGCTTCGCCTTCACACGTGTGAGAAAAACCTCAAACGACTGCAGCAGTGGGAAAAACTCAACCAGAACGAGAGGTGAAGGAAAAAAATGATGAGGAGAGCGAGATAATTAAAGCCGGCCCACCCGTGCAGAGCTGAGGGTGGTGTTGGTCATGAAGCTGGCTGAGGATGAGGTCAGGGTATCTGGGTACGACACCATGGACAGGGTGTCCGGCTGCAGGGCCGTCGCTCCGGCTTTGCCCTGCCGCGCCTTCAGAGCCTGGATTTCCCGTCGCAGCACCATCCCGTCGAAACACTCCAGGTCCTGCGGGGCGACCAGACTTCGCACCTCGGACAGCAGAGAGAACTGAGGGGAGGGAGAGGAGAGACCTTGAACCAGGGCTGATTCAAGGTTTATGTCTAATTCTCTTGTATCAAATCTTTAAAGCTATTTTAAACTGAAACTTTCCTTTACAATAAAATGTTGGATTAAACGAATATGTAGAATATGTAGAATCTGTAGTCGAGGGTCAACATTGTACTGTACTCTGTGTACTCTGTACACTTTTTTGGTCTTAATACTATATTGCTATAGTCTCTGTACTCTTTTATGTACTGTAGTACTTTTATTTTGGAGCAAGCTAGTACAATAAAGTCTTTTCTTATCTCATCTCTTCTTGGCCGTTGCCCGAGAGGCTAATCCGTCGATAGCTGATGGTCTCCGAGACTGATCCTTTACAAACCTGGATCAAATTTAATTTTTTAATAAAGACTGAACTGACAGTCACTGAGAAGGTTGAACTTAAATAACGTCAGAGATCCACCATCACTCCTTTTCACAGTTCTCTAGATGAATCTCAATTCCTCGATCACAGTAGTTGTTCTTCAAAGAGGAGGAATGAGGCAGTTCCAACTTTACAGCCTCATAATTTAAACTTCTTTTGTGTGAGAAACAGTTTAATATCTTTTTATGTCTCTTTAGAAGTTGGACAGTTAAATGAAGAAGAAGGGATGGTTCTATTTACGGCCTTTTATAATAAATCTGAAGCACACTTTTCAGTCACATTCTGTATTTTTATGGTGACTTGAAGAACAACTTTGGATTAACTCATTAAACTGAGTGGGTTGGAAGATCTAAATTTAAATTATCACGATCTAACTTTCATTTCAGATTAACTACTGCTGAACAATATAAAGAACTAAACCAGGAACAGTGAATCTGAGGGCAAGCTGTGCTATTGAGAGAAAGTGGAAAATAAAATGCTTTTGATTTATTGTCTTTTTATAAGGTGAACTTCTGCAGACAGTGAGAAAACCAAGAGACTTTTAAGAGCCGGGGCGGAAGGAAAAAACAAAGCTCAGCTGTAAACAATCGACAAAAAACCCGGAGAACGAATCTCACAAAGACTCGAGAATCATCAATTCAAAGCTCAAAGCAATCGAACGTGGAAACTGTGCACAAACTCCGATTCCTGCAAAGAAAATCGATTCTCTCATGGTCCTTTTCTTTCCCAGACAAACTTCTTACTTTTGCATGAGTGTTGAGGAGCTCGAACAAGGCCATGACCAGCTGCTCCGCGCCGATGTGCCCGTCCCGGTACTCCTCCACGTAGTAAACCATGGTCTGCCGCTCCACCTCCGTCAGCAGGTGGCGAGCCTGCTCCTCCAGCATGGCCCGGGACTGGTTCACCAGGCTGGACAGGGTCACCTGTGAGCCCGCCACGCCCTTATAAAACCCAGGCTGATGCAGACGGAGACCGGGAGAGAGAAAAGACAAGAGACGGAGACGTTAAGGGACTTTTACTGCGGATTCATATTTCTTGTTTATGACATTCTTTTTAAGGAGGTGATGGAGGGAGGAATAAAGTCAAAATGAAGAGGTCGAGAGGAGGTCAGGGAGACGAGCTGCGGCGGCTGCGAAATGGGATCCGATGATGTTTTACACGAGGGGAAGGAACGGGCGAGGGAGGAAGAGGATGATGGTGGAGATGAAGAAGAAAAATAAGTGAAAGGATGAAGAGGCTGGGAAGAAAAGGACCGTGTGTTTTTAGGATGTATTTTATACTACACTGTTTATATATATATATATACTGTATATAACGCACCAGTGTATATATATACATATAAAAGCAGAATGACTCAGTAGAGCCAAACCTCTGCCGAGGCTTAAATTCAAGAAACGGTTCCCTAGATGATCAAGATCTGTCGATTATTGTCGGGGAAAATGTCTTTTAAAAAAAATCTAATAAGTTCTTGCATCCAGACCAAAAAGTTCAAAGCCACTGAACGTAAACGTTTGTGTATTATCATAAAAAGTATTTATATGTCAGGGATGAAAACAAAACGTCATGGGAGGAGGTAATGATCTGAATTTCTACATGTCTCTATTTTAGCTCGTTAGATTTGTTGCTAGCATCAACGATGGATTGAGTTCACCCGAGCGTCAGCGTTTATCGTCGGAGCCATTGTCTCAGGTCGTTGCCATTTGGGTCTCCATGGAGATTCATCAAACACACCTCCTGAGTCGCTGCATGTGGGTTTAACGCAGGTTATAATTTAAACAATCAGAACCATATACAACAGGATGAAAAACAGAAAACGGGGGAAAGAGGGAAGATTTTCAGCTTCTTTTTCATTGAACATCTACAAACAACGTTAGCTTGGTAAATGCGAGGGAGGAATGTTGGACTTAATAACAGTTTCGATGCAGTTTCCATCATGTTCACACTTACACACACACACACACACACACACACACATGCAAGCAGAGTCATGCAAACACACGTTGCAGCGGCGTGCGACTGTAATTATAGCCTGCGTCTCAGATGAAGTGCAAAAGCTGCAGCATGAGCAGCAGAGGGGAGCTGCGGTTAGTGTTCGGCTGTCATCAGGAAGCGATTACATTGTTACAGGAAATGTCAGCGACAGCACAACGCACACATTTCACACTGACACGCCGTGTGAGTGTCTGAGCGTCTCTTGTGTTGCGGCCGCTGAGGTGTTAGAACACGGTGAATATACAGCGTGGTGCTAAAGTCTGAGACTGTTGACATCTGGAGGTGTGTGTAAGTCTTTGTGTGTCCTTAAGTCTTTGAACAGAGCTGTTATTGTGGTAATGTTGATTTAAAGATTAGACTTTAAACTGTCTCTGACACATTAGAACAGTTCGACTGTGGATTTACAAAAAAATGTTGTTCCATCCCCTGGTTGCATGTATCAAAGTACATTTACTTTGTTGCTACACTTGGGTACATTGTAAGTACATTTTAATGTATTTGTACATTTATTATCTGTACTCCATACTGCACTGTATTTTATTTGTATAATCCGTATCCACATATCCCAGTTTGCTTCATAACAAGGTGCAACATCTTGGGCTCCGCCTCCTGAATCTCTATCATATTCAACACAGTGAGCATCAGCTCTCTGCGTACGTTTGTCTACGAGATATTTTTAATTAATTAATTGGCCAGTCGTCTTAATCGAATCACCCAGCAGATCGTTTTGTGTCTGAAGTGATACACGACAGTTGTTTCAGCCCAAACATGTGGAAAAAGTTTCTCACTGTTGCTTCCAGCCATGTGTTTTTTGTTAAACTGTCTGGCCGACTGAAGCAAACGTCAGACGCACGTCCCGAGGCAGTGTGCGAGAGTGACTCATCAGCTGTGAGCGGGCGGCTGGCTCGTAAAGCAGAAAAGATAACACGAGTCTCAGAAATCACAATGGGGGAAGTTGGTAATGACTCAGCCAACCAGGTGACCTGAAGTCTCCAACATACATCAGGACTATAATTAGAGAGCACGAGGAAGAGATCAAGCGCAGCACCGTAGGTAGAAGACTCACAGGACTGGACCACCTCTAGAAATGACGACAGCAGGAACAACAAGTAGATTAGATTAGATTCAACTTTACTGTCATTGCACATGTCACAAGTACAAAGCAACGAAATGCAGTAAAGCTTCCCCATTTACACAGAGTATCACATCTCTAATATTATGATTTAACCTCCTCTCCCACAGTTAAGGTACAAACCCGGAGACCGACGGACCCCCCCTGTCCACTGTCCCTCCTCCACCATGGCGAGCCAGGACCCTGTCAACCCTTCACATGCAACGTTTGACCTCTTCGTCAAAGCCCAGACCTGTAAGGACGTGAGGCACCACTTTGCTGAGCTCTGCAAGCAGCTGGACGTCAACCCCAGAGACTTCAGGACCTTCTACATCAGTTTAAAGGAGAGGCTGAATTACTGGAAGGCCAAAGCTCTGTGGACAAAGCTGGACAAGAGGGCGTCTCACGCAGATTACCAGCAGGGAAAAGCCTGCACCCAAAACAAGGTAACGGGAAAAACACAGTCTCTAACGTTTTATGTTATTTTCCAGAAGTAGAATTCAAACCTTTACTTTTTGCCTTTTTAGTTTGAAAATACTCAACCTAAATCATCTTATTTTCATGATGATTTAACTGTTCCTGAAGGTTTTACTGAATTTTGACGACATAAACGTAAAACATGCAATATAAAGGAAATCTAAAAATCTAGATAGAATAAAATAATATATTCAGTGTAACCAGGTTGCACATTGAATTGCACAGTCACAAATTAGTATCACTCAGTTAAACGAGTTAAACCTGATTGAGTTTTGGATTGAGTCACTGTACCTCAGCTGAAAAAAGTCTGCGCTCCTTATGAAAGCACATTTAAATCCACTAGAGCCACATTATTTATTTGGATCTGCCCAAGAATGCACAAACCTATTGACACCAACCCCCTAAGATACCAGAGAACATGTTGTTTCGGATCTGCCCCCGATTTGCAGCAGATTTGAATTAGTTCTTCTCAGAGCTAAACCACATCCTTTTTCATAGAAACCCGTTGGGTAGTTCTTGCATAAACTTGCAAACACAAAAGAAACATAAAAGCCTGTGTATAATTTTTTGTGTTTTTTTTGCTGCTGGTCAGATTTAGATAAATTTTCATCATTTTTAAATTATCATTTTCCTTTGGAGGCCGTTCCTGCGTTAATTTGTTTTACCGTCACTCAATATTAAGCCTTTTTTTAGAATCCTGAGTCATCCCATGGCTCCAGTTTCTCTTCAGTCTCATTGCCCCGCAGGAGGATATAAAAACATTTTGTCATTCTCCGACTGGCATCGTTTCATGTCCTCCTCCTCTCCCTCAGTGTCTCGTGTTGGGTGCCGGACCATGTGGGCTGAGGACGGCCATCGAGCTGTCCCTGCTCGGGGCTCAGGTGGTGGTGCTGGAGAAGAGAGAGTCGTTCACCAGGAACAATGTTCTCCACCTGTGGCCCTTCACCATCTACGACCTCCGCGGGCTCGGAGCCAAGAAGTTCTACGGCAAATTCTGCACCGGCTCTCTGGATCACATCAGTGCGTGACTAATGACGCTGCTTTATGGACTGTTCTGTTCTGTCAGCCGGCTCCGGGGGCCGCTCAGAGAAACGATCAGTTGATTAATGATTGTTCCATTAGCTGATTAATCCTGAAAATGTATCTCCAACTTTTCTGCCACTTCTATTTTAATGGCAGCATGTACGTGTCTGACAGAGGCGGCGGTTTTTAGAGAATGAGGAATATTAATTTATGTACACGTGTCATGTTAAATAGTTTATGGAATTTATAAGAAACTAAACCTTATTGCATTAACATGATCCCACCTGATCATGTGTGTTTTCAGGCATCCGTCAGCTGCAGTTGGTTTTATTGAAGGTGTCCCTGCTGCTCGGGGTGGAGGTGCACACTGGAGTGGAGTTCCACGGCTTGATTGAGCCCTCAGGGGAAAACGGTACTTGACATTTCCAAACCAGCGATCCCTCTCCACACTCGTTCTGCTCAGGACATCATCATCATCAGCAGTTGTTGTTCCTGTGGAAAGCTCTGATTTGTTGTTATAAAACCCGCTCAGGTGCAGGAGACATTAAAGATTGTTGTGTTTCTGACAGGTTGGATGGCCAAGCTGCAGCCTGCGTCTCATCCTGCTGCAACCTTCCAGTTCGACGTCTTCATCTCTGCAGGAGGAGGCAGATTTGTCCCTGATGGTGAGACAAAAAGAATGTCTCAGTTTCTTCTGTTGTGATTCCAAAACCAGAAATATACCTCTGATGCTGCTGAAAATCTCGGGCGGGGCATTGGCAGTTTCACAAATCTAAATACCGATCAGACTTCCTGGAAATCGCTTTTTCTCCGCCGCCAAAACAAAAACATTCTGCAGATCCGGTTAAAAAGTAATAGTGAAATAAAGAAGTGGTAAACACGCTTATTTTTCATCCGAACCAAGTGGGTGTGTGGAGACATTCTAGATTTTTGTTAAGTTATTTACAGGTTCATAAAAAGTAAAGCACGTAATGGAAATAAGTATAAAAGTGAAGTCCTTACTATGAAAATGCAAGTTATTAAAATACTGATCTGACGTCTTTGAAGTATATTCGTTTCACTTAGATAAATCTGTGCTGTTTTTAGAGCAGCGAAGAAGAGGAAGTGTCTTCCGGCCACAAACTGTCATGCTTGAGGGTCCTATAAGTAGAATGATGACATGTACAATATTCAGGACTTCAGTTTAACACTTCCTACAGGGTAAGCACCATACAACTCTTTTCTTATTCAATAAAGAGTTTCCTCTCTTTCTTCTTTCCCGAATTCTCAGGTTTTAAACACAAGGAGCTCAGAGGAAAGCTGGCTATCGGCATCACGGCCAACTTCATCAACAGCAACACGCCGGCCGAGGCCCAGGTGCCGGAGATCAGCGGCGTGGCGCGCATCTACAACCAGAAGTTCTTCCAGGATCTGCTCACGGAGACGGGTAGGAATCCACATCGGTAACATCTGCAGTCGTGTTGAATGAACGAGGACAAGTTGAAGTCATCCGCTTCAGATCGATGTGTTTTGATAACACAGCTTCCACTAAGTGAAATATGAATTACGAAGCAAATTCACTGAACCGTGACATTTTCTATTAGGAATACAGGAGTGCTTCCATTTGCGTTTGATTTTCGCCCTGTTGAGCCGCGCCGGACACGACCCCTCCAGGCAGGAAATGAGCGTTCACACTCTCGGGTTCAACGTGACGCGTTGTGTTCCAATCTTTGGCTAATTTCCTGTGACAGCGTCCACCCATGATGCACTTCTCCCCCCGAATCTGCTGCACTTTCATCCTGAAATAACTTTACAGGAATCACGACTGACCTTTACAACCCCGATCATTTGAATTAGTTTTCCTTTCACTCTCGTCCTCGCTGCTCATACACCAATCTACGCCCCATCGTAAAACCAGTAAAACCAGTAGATGAATAAATGGAAACAGGTCAAATGAATTGGCAATAAAGCTGCAAATCGTCTCTCCTCCTCTGCTCTCTTTATTTTTTCCATTCCAGGCATTGATCTGGAGAACATCGTCTACTACAAAGACGACACCCACTACTTTGTCATGACTGCCAAGAAGAAGAGCCTGCTGAAGAAGGGGGTCATTAAACAGGTGAGAACAACACATCCATTACCGAGGAAAAAAGTGTGGCTCTTATTGGCTCCCGCTGCATCACTCATATTGAAAAAAGAAACAAACTAGATGGATGGAACGGCCACGCGGGAGCTCGGAGTGCGAAGAGACAAACCGTCCATCAGCTCCTCTCTCTCTGTCCGCAGCCGAGGCCCAACAAAACAAACCAAGCGTAAGACGTTGTCACTCATCAGAAAGCACCTCTCGCTGTGTCTCTGCAGGACTTCAGTGACGCAGAGGAGCTGCTGGCTCCGGCGAACGTGGACAGGGAGGCTTTGAACCGTTACGCCCATGATGCGGCCCACTTCTCCACAGAACTGCCCGACCTCCATTTTGCTAAGAACCCAGCGGGCAATCCGGACGTGGCCATGTTCGACTTCACCTGCATGCACCGCGCTGAGAACGCCTCCCTCGTCAGGGAGAGGAAGGGGAGGAAGCTGTTGATGGGGCTTGTGGGAGATTGTCTGGTGGAGGTAGGGGGGG